TTTCCTATCTGGAAGTGAAGTACAATGAACATCTTAGTCTCTTCAACAGTCCTCGGTCCATGCATCTTATCTCTGCCCGTATCTGTTGTACTGCTGTTAACTGTACTGTTTGGAGTTATATACTGCACATTACCTTTCCCTCGTCAGCCTCGTTTTGCTCACATCTAATGAGAATGCCGAAAACCACCATTCTTCACCTGCTATGACATGATCTCTACCATAAGAATTCTTTTCCTAACGGCATAGGCAGTTAAAATTCCAAGACTAGAGAGAAAAAGTACTGGGGAAGAAAGAAGCCCTTTATTTTATAGCGTTAGGATTTATCAAAAAAGATAACAACGTAGTTTTTTTATAAGCAACATGTACCGAGGAATTGAATCACTGCTCGTAGAAGAAGAAAGGAAAAATATAGTTTCTTTTAACATGACCCTTCATCCCATACATTCTGTAGATCCCAGCAGTTCTTTAATTTTTTTGCATTCATCCTCCATAAACAGTTTTCGTTATGTTTCGTCTGCTGCTTGAGGTCTTCTTTATGAATGTCACAGAATAGTAGTTGAATTCTTCTTGAAATCTTGGTGATAGTTGGGCTGAGGCGTTCCCACGTGAATTGCAAATGAGTGTTGAGGCAGTGATTGAAGTAGTGTCCTTGCTTTCTAATCGAGAACACCACTAACAATCGCATCCCTTATGGATTTATTAGCGCCGCGAGTTTTTAGCTTTTATCGTGATCATAAAGCACGCTTTGGCAATGGATTGAATAGAAATGGAATCCCTCTGCTTGCGATTGACTTCCCACTACACTTACGCATAAAAATTCCTGTACAGCTGTTGCAGAATATCTCTAATATCTGCGAAGGCGGTAGTGCATGAACAAACGAACTTTGAGTTATAAATATTATATCACAGCTGTGGTGTGAAAACATTCTTCGCGTGGTGTTAAGTTGTTTTTGAATTTGCGAGAACTGGAGATTGTGTGTATTTTTAGCCATTCGAGCTGATTGATATGAACTAAACGGACGCAATTCCACCAATAAAGTGGATACATCCCTAAACACTGACATCTTATTATCGATTTTCCCATTTTTATCTCCAATATCAAAGTAACAGCTGGGTCCGGAGAAAGCAGGAAGCTTTTATAAACTTTGTGTATTAACAACTTTCTGGTAAGCTTAAAATTGTTGTGCTTTATGTGAGCTTTGACACATGGAATCAGATGTCAGTCCCGACCCTCTAGAAAGACATTTTCAGCCAATCGTGGTATAGGAAAACCACCGTAGATTTTTTGCGCAGCAGTATGCAAGAATTTTGTTTGAAAGCAGACGTAGTAACAGATAATAAGCAGATAAGTAGCAGATAATAAGCAAGAAAACAAATGGGAATGTCTGTATATTTTCTCCAATTTATTGAAAAGATTGGGAGAAGGCTAATGTCTACTACAACCACTAGTCTCCAACCCACACATCGTAGATTAAAGCAAAGCTCCATAATCTAAGGAAAGCCTATTATAGTTCTCTACATATTTCCCAATGCGATAATCCTGAGGAATAAAGAGTTCGGCGTTGGTCACCTCTTGATAGATGTGCTGCGCCTTTGACTTCATGAAGCATCTCTAGAGATAACTGAATGAATATCTGACTTATACAGCAACTTGCGATTGTCGACCAACATCATCAAATCAATGCTGCTATCCCTATCGGACAAGGTTTTTACCAATTTGTCTACCTAGGAGTGATGAGGGCATCGCTCTGTGTGAAATCGAGCCAACGGCCAAGTGCTTATTGCAGGGCCTGTGTAAAATAACATCTTATTCTGGTTCGGTAAACTTACAGATTTCCTGAGTGCTGTCGAACTTCTGAAAAGATTTCTAGCATCAGCTTGGCTGTTGAAGATTGAAATAACAAGTAGTTGTCAAAATACTTTAAAAGTGAGATAATAGTTGAGAGAAAAGATGGGTAATTGTGCTCGATGATGCAAAGCTTCTTATCCCACTTCTTCACAAAATTTCTACGAAAAATTTGCTTCGACGTTAGGTTGGTCGTTCCCTTAAAGAGAATTGCGCGTTCCTACGGTCAGTAGGATCTGCTCGCAGATTACCACTTCTTGCTTCAATTTTGCCGCGTTCGTTGCTGTTCCACTCCATGGTAATCTCTTCGCCATACAGTCATTTCATTTGACTTCCAAAACTAGCTGTGCTGTTCCTGTTGTTTCATTTGCATCTAGTTCTACCATGTTTCGCTAATCAAAGTCTACGAGACTACGTCAATTAACGTTTTCGAATGCTTCCGGTCGGTGACAATGAGTTTGTTTTTTCAATATACCTTAGAGAAACTAGAAAAATTGCTGACGAAAAATGTAGTGTGACAGCTCTTAGTGTGCAATACAGAAGCGAACGAGCAAGGAATTATTAAGGTAAGGGTTTCAAAAATTCGAGAGAAATGAATAGTAATTGGTTTCTAGACCACTCAGTGTGTAGCATTATTTGCTAAGCCGGGTTCGCTCTCTACGGTGACTATAATAGGTCAGAATTGGCAATTGAGAAGCTCTGAAAATTTTTCTGTATGCGAGGTTCTGCATTGTATGCGGAGTTCTTGATCTGAAATTTGCTGTTATGGGAATGATGCAATTTCCTGTCTTATCATCATTATCAAGTATAAGCTAGGTTTGAGAAGGGAAATAATTTAAGAACAAAGTCAACTTCATATTCTCTGGCTTATTTTTGGAATATTGCGCTTTGTCTTGTTCTTGGAAAGCAAGACTCAATCAGGGATGTGCACTACATGTACATGATTGGCGCCTTCATGTGTCACCAATGAAACAGACGTCTTTCTGAAGGACGTTCTGATTTCGGCAATGAGCAACGTATTTTGAATGCTCAACCTGGTATTAGAGGCGAAGAGGTGCTTGCGTTAGTTGAAAGGGAGCAACTCGGGAAACTGTTATTGTCAGCACGAAAACATTGCGTGACTTTGACAATTTTCACAATTTTAAAGAGTATTGAGCTTAGACGAGGTTGATGTAAAAGCTTTTATTCGGTTCACGTTTCTGCACGCTTGCATTCCTCAGAGCCCTTTGATCGGAGTCAGTGATCCCAAGCTAGTCGTGTTGGTGTTTAAGAGATTTCTCACAAGCATTTGAAGCATGGCTGGTTTACCTCATTGCTTATTCACCATACTTAGCACCTTTCGATAGCCAGAAATTCCGTTCTCTCCGATCCGAATTCCGATCTCAGATGAAATGGGGTGATTCCAGATCTTTTGTCGCTGCAGAAATCGTCGAGATGAATGGCACGGGATTTGATTTGCGTTCGGAATTTGCACTAAAAATCGGAGGCATGGCGAATTAGGTGGATCGTGAAATAACCGCAGCGACAACGAAGGTTGAGAGCGGAATGGACGATGCTTAATTTTGTTTCCAAGGAAAGAAATTCTATAGGTGAATGCTAACTTTTATCTGCTGCCTACAACAGTTTTTTATGGCAGGGTATGCTGCGAAATACAACCACAACGGTGTTGAGATATTTGCCGGACCGCGGATGTCTGCGGTGGGGAACGAACGCGCTATTATCCTTTCCGGGGGCTAACGTTTCGCCACCACATTATGCAGATCCTTCCTTTCGCCTGTGTTTCAGCTAGTTCTATCGATCTTTTGCTATCAGCAATCACCCGTCAACGGGATTGATCTGGGGAGCCCAAATCGGCGACGAACCCAGTTAAGCTGAGGCTTTAGTTATAATCGCAATCTTAATCGTTTTATTTACTGCCTGCTCTTTTTTAATGGCAGGGTATATTGCGAAATATAGCTCCAATGATGCTGAGATATTTTTCAAAGCTCCGGACCACAGGTGTCTGCGGTGGGGAACGAACGCGCTATTATCATTTCTGGGGTGTAACGCGTTCACCATCACACCATGCGGGTCCTTCGTTTCGCCTGTCTCTCAGTTCTATCGATTAGTGCCATCAGCAATCACCCGTTTATAGGCGAAATTTGGTCAAAGAGAAAAGAAGAACTTTCGCAGAAATCCAATAAAAGGAACAAAAACAGTAAACAAACAAATGTCTGTCACAAACAATCGATTTTGTGTGAGCAGAAAAAACCTTTATTTATCAACAATCAATATAACAACATACTACGGAAAGAATTGAGCTTTTCAATAGCAAATCACCTATCCAAGAACATCGCGATTTTGAATCGAAATGAGATCAACAGAAATTGAATAAGAGATTGCGGCAATTTTTTACACGATGAAAAAAATCTGAAGGAAAACAGCTAATGGAACCATTGCAGTCGCGGTCACATAAACACAATCACTAATCTTGAGAATCAGAAACGACGTCCAGTACTCAGCAGTACTTGCAGAACGGCGAGGACTCTCTATAGCTTGGACAAGGACATGACGAGAAACACAGCAGTAGAAACCCGCATGTACAGCAGAAGAACTGCGATCCGTAACACGAAGGAAGAAATGCAATTGTCTCAGAACTCAAGAATCTATCAATCGGTCTGAAGTGAGAGTCTCTTATTTCGAAATTCCCAAGTGCTCTCAGTTATCTAAGCACATTTTAGGACAAAATCTTAAAAATACAACCGCTTTATATCCATAAGGATGGTGAGATTTCAGCAAAACTCGAGGCATCAATTGGGTTTCGAATTCGCGATTATCCTATCCGGAGATTGAACTTCCGTCCACAATTATGTACAATTACATTGTGATTACAACCGTTTTACCCTGCCTCATCAATCAAGCTTCTATGCGTAGCTTTCATCATCGATGCTAAATTTATACTGAAAAGTGGGAAAGGTTAAGAATGGTTCCTAGAAATGAGAACTCGAGACTTTCGCACTTCTTCGCTTCATCGTAGCAGAACGCCGTTCACCCCATGGAAAGCTTCAGAATTCGCTAGTAATTACGCTAGTAGTCGGAGCGAAGACTTTCAGGTCACTTTAGGATAAGGAAAATGCAATACTTTAAACCAGACAATGCAATAAAAGTACACGTATTAGAGCCGTTGAACCCGCTGATGGCTGTCATCCGTGCCGGAACTCACGCACTCTTCGCGACGTTCGTCGCCTTCGGTCGAAAGCGGAGCGTATTCCTTACTCCTGAAAAGATTTGAGGATTTAGGAAAATAATTTTTTAAAATAAAAGTTTTTAAAGTCTTATTGCTACCCTTAATCTCTTTTCTCCTAAAATATTAATAAATCTTGGACATGTGGTCATTGTTCCCAATTTCGTAGAACTAATTCGCGACCGTATTTTTTAGCCTCTGTACGAAAGTTTCCTGATTTGCAGCTTCGGTTTCGACCTAAAAATTTTTAATCTTCTTCATGAATGTCTTTGAATGCTGGTAGAGTCGACTCTCCCTGTAATGTCTAGGTGGCAGTGCTTGTTTGTTACAAAGCCTCCAGGGTTAAAAGGATATGTAAGGACATATAAGCGTTTTGATATATGTCTGATGTCGATTTCTCGACCCTGAAGGAATCGGAGAATTGGTTAATCTGGTGCAGAATCGAAGGAATACTTTGTGCATAATGAACGGTATCCACACCACTGTGTTAAAACATTTTAATAAAAAAGCTATTATATAGGACAAAGACAGTGGCAGATCTGGCAGGAAATACTATTTCGAGCACAAAGCACCAACAAAACTCTCGTCATTTCCGGCTTAGACTATTAGAACACCGCCTATAAAAACAAGGAGGCTATTTTTGCAAATTGGATTGAAAATCTTGTGTAAAAACAAGGAATCTGTGAGCATTTGAAATCTCATGTCAAGGTTCGGAATAGCTTTTTTAGAGTAGTTTAAGAGATGAAAGGTATTGGCGAAGACTTCTACCGAAAACACTTTCCCTCAAACATAATGGAGTTCTTTGTTTGGTTATGGAGGCGTCTGGCCGGGTGAGTTGCTATCAACTTGACCTTTCCAGGCTCTGAAGAAGGCGAAATTCGCCGAAACGTCAGCTTAATCGTGAACAAAGAATAGTAACACCTCGCGTTTGCTCAACAAAAATACGAAGAAAATAATGGAGTTCATCTTTTATCTTAGAGGGAACAATAACAAAGTAGTGAAGTAATGAAAAATGGAAACGAAGGAAAATTGAGGACTACGTTTCAGTGCGGTTTTCATAAGGGATAAAGCGAAATGACTGCCATGGTTTATACCACTGGCTCTTCAACGAATAGGTATCTTTGCACACTTTTGTTTTCGTTTTTGTACAAAAAAAGAGTTTCGAATATACAAGTAGAAAAATTCCGCTGGGATGGTTTTTTTTTACTTTTTTTATTTTAGATGGCCCGTCTTCACGTCTGCTGTGCGGATCCCAGCACTTCTTACACTCGGTTCGTTTCCTCACATCCATTGTACACGAAGATCTTCTAACTTTACGTGTGGCTTCGGTTTCTGCTTGAGGATTTTTCATTTCATCTTCGATGTCGTAGAATGCTGGTCGAGCAATTCTCCATGGAGTCCTGGGATAGCCGGGCTGGAGCGTTCCCAATTCGATTGCATGCAAAAAATTATTTCTTTCCCAGACAAGTCCACTACCAATTTCCGACCACGGAGGGATGAGTGGCTTGGTTGGCCTGGGGCGAGGTCGAACTTGCACCATGCTCGTGATGGCAGACGCCACTAACACTGTGCTATCCCCACCCACACTGACGAATGGTTACTAGTTAAAATATTCTAACAACAAGAGATGCCTTCAGAGATCTTAATAAACTAGAAACTAACATAGTAATAAGCTTTTCAGACAATCTTTTTTAAAATATGTTAGCTTTACCTACCCAAAATTGTTGATGCTTATTCTTTGCAACTGCAATTGAGTGAAGTTGAAATTGCTTGGTGTGGGTGGTGCTTTCTTGTTGACACATATTCTAAAAGAATAAGCAAAAAAGCCTGTCATAACTAAAAGAACTAAAAGGACTTGTTCTGCACAAACTAAAAGATAATTTCTAAAGAACTTTATTGATTGGTGGATGGAAAGTAATCGAGAAAACTACGGCGAGTTTTGTACTAGCATGAACACATCTCCTTAAAAGTCAGTGATCTTTCATTAATAACAATAAATGAGAAAGCCATTCCATCTCAAAAAGATGGACGGAGAAACAGCAAACTTACGAATGCGGTCCAATGTGCAATAGAACCATCCAAAATGTCTGTCTGTAACGGGATGACATGACACAGTACAGGACGAAATTCACTGATGAATTTAGCAGCGACAACAAATCCAATATGTCACCAAGGTAATAATATAGGAACCTAAATCAAAACAATATTATGGACTATCTCCGAAGTTGAGAAAAAGTCAATTCTGCTTTCCGAGTTGAGCAGATGAAGATAAGGTAAACCGGGGAGGATTAGGCATAGACGGACAAGGGATAATGCTTTTGGCTTCGATCAAACCCTGAAGGATGACTCATACAATTCCATTAAATAGAGGTGATCTAGTGCATATTGAGTGTTATATTAAGTTAGTTTTTTTTTATTTTGCCAAGCAATATTAGCACCGATTCTCCGAACCGTGATGGAAAGAAGGCTTGGTGAGCCCATGGCACGGGGTTAAACAAATAATCATATATGCCGCAAGGCACTTCTAGCTTTTGCGCTGCACGTGCCTCATTTTAAATAACAAACACATTAGAAACATCGCACAATTATGTGTAACGGGCACACTGCACGACAAATAGTTTTGCTCGCTCATCCGATTATTGATATTTGATTTATACCGGCCAGAGGGCTATACAACAATTCAGCAACCCTTTTTGTTGTACTTTTCGCTCCATTTCGGCTTTCTGCTTTCGCTGTTGGCAATTTCAACTTATTTTTAAAGGAAAGGATATACAAGGATAAAGCTCTCAGCGTTGATCAATGCCTGAAGGATGAGCCATGCATTCGACTTCACTAAGTATCGTTGGAGGTAACTGAATGCATATCTGGCCTTTACAATGACTCGCGGTAGCCTACTGATGAATCAAGCCAGTGCTGCTATCCTCCCAGACAAGTCTGATACCAATTTACCGACCCCGGAGGGCTGGAAGACTTGGTGGGCCATGGGCGCAGAGATCGACTCCACATGTGTGTCGCAATGGCGCCTCCAACCACTGCGCCACACGCGCCCTGTACATACTTATCCCAGCGATTGCAAACAGAAAAAGAATCAATAAATTAGACCTTAGCATCTGGATGAGCGCGTGGGTAACAACTAGTGTGAACACAAGACTAGTCAGAGTTCGGTTGTACAATGTATTGTAAATATTGGAGATCATCAATTAATGACGTCTTCACTGGCCGTCCAACACTGTAAGTATTCTATTAAGCGGTGTAAGATTGGTTTAAATAAAATTCCACGACTTTATCAACTGGGTATAGACACCTTCGATCGAGCACCAAGCTCACAGAAGCGTTCGAACAGTGAAAACGGCAAAGCTCCCGAAATTTCATCCAAGTTCAAAGATTCTAGTGCAAGTTCGTCAAGATCACAAGAGCGTAACCTTCAGTGGTGGTATTAAACATAAAAAAGGATAAAGCTCTTGGCGTTGATAGATCCCGTGAGGAATATGCCACACAATCGAGTTCTTTAAGCATCGTTAGAGGTAACTGAATGCATATCTGGCCCATACACTGACTCGCAGTGGTTTACTCATGAATCGAGTTAGTGCTGCCATCTTCCCAGACAAGTCTGGTAGCAATTAACCGACCTTGGAGCGATTGAAAACTTGATGAGCCTGGAACGCGGGTTTGATTCCATGTGTATTGCGGTGGCGCCTCTAACCACTGCGCTACATTTGTCTTCATATTAAACAATATATAAAACCAAATATACCTATGATACTCACTTATGGACATCTGCGGTGTAGATAGCACACAGTATAGAGATGATTCCTTGAGGAAGTTCTGTGAACAGAAACACTGACAAGATCACTACCAGCATTGTTGTCGTCCTATCCGACTTCCACTTTTTCCTGATATGGAAGAGTCTCATCTACGAACAACTTCAGATGAAGCGAAAGAAATAATATGCGAAAAATAAACTACTAAGAGATTTATAGATAAAATCGGTTGAAAGTACAACAGAAAGTAATTCATACAATTCCCATTGAAAAAAGAACATTCCTGTAGACATGAGTAGACACATTCCTGTAGACACAATTCTGCATTTCATTCGCAAAAGACTTCACCGATTTTTTGATAGTAACAATTTTAACACTTTCAACAAAGTCCACAGAAGAACAATAGCATTCTTACTGATGAAAAATTACTTTTTCGGCATGGGATGCTTGACATCGCTTGAAGACAGATTATTCATGCTGACATTCGTAAGTTTACGGCGATGTCGTTCCGCATCTCGAATTTTACTCACAAGACCAAGACTGAGGATCATCAGCAGGATGCAAGGAATCACCTATCGTGAAAAGAATTTCGTTATCACAAGCACCACATTTAAATCGATCAATTAAAAATCACATTTCCCAGCATGACGTTATACAAAGTTCCTAGCATTTCTAACAAAACTGAATTTTAGAGGCTCAATTTCAAAGTCGTTGTTGGATTGGATGATAGTAAAATGTCTAACTTTTTATTTACTGCCTAATATTTTTCCATGGAACGACATTCTGTGAAATACAACCATAAAAAATTGGCTGAGAGAAATGTAAGGCAAGGATCTCGGTGGTGTAGTGAGTAACACGTGAACCCCCAAAAGGTAAGGAAAAGGGTATGGGTTTGAAGTTCAGCTGAGGTTCCGAGCTTTGCAAAATGTGTCGTTCTCTTTTTCAGTAATCGCGAGGTTGTTATTCATTACACGTTTACTTCCGTACACGTGGAACACATACAACACAACGGTAGCTGACGTTTCGGCAGCATCGCCTTCTTCAGAGCCTGGAAGAGTTCATTAATATGTAATTTACTTGGTCAAACGCGTGAGAAACGCAAACAGAAAGATGGAAATCTGATCAATAATTACACGATCACCGGCTTCTCGAAAAACCCATCGTTTCTTACCTGCCTTCCACGCTGGGTTTTTGGAGAAGCCGGTGATCTTGTAATTAACGCTCAGGTTTTCATCTTCCTGCTGTGCTGTTGAAACGTTTGACCTTGTGAATTACGTATCAGTATACCGTTGCAGGCTACGAAGAAGGCGATACTGCCGAAACGTCAGCTATCGTTCTGTTGCATGTGTTCTATCTGTACGGAAGTAAACAACTGGTGAATAACAACCTTGCGATTGCTGAAAAATAACGACACATTTATAATCCAATGCCGAGCTTAATAGAAAACCGATCTTGGGAACTAAGCATCATTGTTATCTTAAAATATTTTTTACTTTCCCGAACACTTGAAGTGATCCACAAATGAATATGCTCCATTGAACATCTCGTTTCTCATATTCAGAATTAGTTAGCTCACATATTCAGCCAATATTTCGAGAGAGTGCTTTCGACGGGTAGTGTGAGCAGAAGTGATCTCCTTAACGCTTGACAAGGTATCGTTTTAGGTTTTTTCGTCTCTATGGCTTCATGATAATTTGCCTTGTGGTTCAAATAGAAAAGCCAATCTGCAGGATTTTTTTCCAAAACAGTCTTTTCGTCATCCACTGTAAATTTTCCGACCATAAGTGGATTCCTGGGGGTACGTGTAACGCAGAGGTTAGAGCTGACGTGCAATACAGACATGGTCGTTTATCCGGTCCCATTTTGGGGTTCACTAAGCCCTCCATTTCCACAGGGTGAGCAAATGGATTCCGGACTTGTTTTATAAAAAAATAAAAGAAATAATAAGGATCCTGAACTAGTACACCGTTAACCTAGCGCCAGTCATTATACAGGCCAGATATGCATTCAATCTTCTCTAAGGATGCTTGATGAAGTCGAGTCCACGGCACATCCTTCAAGGTTTGATTAAATTCATTAATTCAGAAAGACTACTCAACAAAGACTAAACCAACGTCATACTAGGCTTTGGCAAGCAATACTATATCCCGCTCTCAAAGTGTAAAAAAGCATATCACAACAAAAGTGTGATGCTCTTCATCTCCTCCGACCGAGCTGAGTGATCTGATAGACACCGATGCACCACGGTGACGTGTGGAGGTTGCTGCTGTTCTCTCGAGTTACTCAGTGACTAACGAGTAACTAGAGAGAGCAACAACAGGTGATAACGACATCCACAAAGGACAATAATGTTATCAGATCAAAGCCACGGTCGTCAATTTGTTCGTTTCCAGCTGTGGACTAAGAAACCTTTGAAAACCAAGAAACTTTAAAACAACCTTAAATACGATTCCGATCATCCAAATATTCAACTTGAAAATACTGCAATTGTTGGCAGTAGCTTCCTTGCTGACCTAAATTGTAATCCATAAAAACACAGTAGCTTCATCATCTTTAGTGTCGAAAAACAAAAAAAAAAACAAAAACACAAAAACACGAAAAACAAAAAACAGAACAAGAAAAACCACAAAACTAAGTAATTATGACTATGGAAGGAAAAATATGATAATGTTTCCGCTGGCAGGCAAGGCCGGTTAGTCTTAAGCAATTTAATCTACCACAACCTATTTAGATAACTCATGACCGTATTCATTGTCCCTCACAATATTAAGGTTTGCCTTACCACATAATACTTCACATGCATTGATCACAGCGCACTCGATGCAAAAATAGTGGCAACTATCTTTTCGAACAAGCTTGCCTTAGCTCGCATTGAATTCTTTCAATTTCGCTACAACCGTTTAGACCCACGCATTTTTGTTCACACGACTTTGTACCTGTGCAGAAGATGCTATTTTGTTCTTTAGTATTTAGTCGGCATTTGTGGCCACCATTGAACTTTTTAAAAATTTAAATTTCCAATTAGAGGAATGTTTTCGAAAAAATCACACCTAAACTGCGTGGAGGTGCTGTGTGCAACGAACCTAACCCGAACCTTTTGGTTAGAGGGGTAGTGCTTATCGGGCCGATTCCGGCTTAGGTGGGGGTCTTTTGGGATCACACTGTTTAACTGATGCATCGTTCTAATGGTAATACCTGTTGCCTTGCATACTACTACATGTTACAGCTAACCATAGAGACCATAGAGCTAGAGCATAGAACGTTGGAAGTGGGTAACTCTTCAAATAATCAAATATTTGAGAAGCTATTGTCAGTTGTAAAACTTTGCTTTGTACCTTAATAAAAGTATCTTTTAGTATGTAATAATGAGAAATCTGCTAGGAGATTAGATTTTCAATGTGTCGTTTTCTTGTTCAGCAATCGAGAGGATTTTAAACAGCATACATTTACTTCCATAGAAAACAAAATACGATACAACACTAGCTGACGTTTCGGAAGTATCGCCTTCTTCAGCGCCGCTTTTTACGTGACTTCCAATGAGGAGGTTTAGAACAACTGTCCCACAGAAATTGATGCGAACATACGGGGTCAGGTCGCGTATAACCCCTGCTATTCATTGCTGGGCTTTTGGCATTTATCCAAAAAGCCTCAAAAAGTTTTCGCGCTGGTCTTTTAGTCTCCTGTGGAAGGATATTGACTTTTACTTCAAAATCGTCTCCGCTATGCTTTTGTATCCCATGCGTGCCTAGTAGGGTGCTTCGTCATAGTTTTCGTTTGCCATCTAGGTGTCCTTTTATACGGATACACAAAGGTCTGCCCGTTTCGCCAATATATTCATCTCCGTAATTATTACAAGAAATCTGGTATATCCTACCTGAACTCATGCAATCACCGTCCCTTCCGTTAGGCCAAATTGCGCACGTTTCCCTTGGGAGCGTCGCTCTCCTTCTAAAGATATCTCGTGAAGTTACTATTTTGTAGCCATTGGAGATGTATATTTGCCGAGCCAAGTCGCGCGACTCTTCCTTTAGTTCCCTGGTGGTGCACACAGAGGTGGCTGTTCGAAACATGTTTCTCACAATCGCCCTCTTTGTGTGTGAAGGGTGGGAAGAAAGGAAATGAGCAAGAATGTTCGTGTTACTTGGCTTTCAATACCACTTTGTCAGGTAACCGCTACTTGATAGGTTTATTTGAACGTCCAAAAACGGAAGCCACTTTTTTCTGGATTTCTCCCTGGTGAACTTTATGTAGTCGGACTGCTCGTTCAATAATTCAAAGCTTTTGTCCATCTCTTCCTGCGTGTAGAAGACGACAAAACAATCATCTACATATCCGCAGTGGAGTAGTGGCCGGAGATCGAGAACAGGGGCTTCTATCTTAGACATAAACACAACGTCAAGGCGTAGTAATATTTTGAAACCGACCTTCCCTAAACCTCGGTGTGACAAATCAATATGTATTCTTTCTTGATAAGCTTGCACGAGGTTGATAAATATATTTATTTTCGGCTAACGTTTCGACGTCTTCGTCTTCCTCAGAGCCGGTGATCCGAGTCGATGGTCCATGCTTGTTGTTCGCCTCGACGTTGCGTCTTCGCCTTCCTGTCGAGCCAGATCTTCCTCAGCGAGCCATCTTCTCGAATGAGGCATCCTCATTCAGTGATGCCCTTTTATACACGATGCTGATGGTGGATATATAATGACAATGTCCGGTGGTAACAACTTGTATTTCTTCCGGACATACATCATTGCGCACATCGTGCAGAGGTCGGTGTGTTATCAGCTAGCACGAAATATTACTACG